AAGGAGCCCGATGCGGGACTCGATCCCAGGACCCTGGGATCATGACCTGAGCTGAAGGCAGACGCTTAACCGACTGAGCCACCCAGGCGTCCCATCAACTTGATTGTTTCTTAAATTTGAGTTTGGAGTCCTCTGAAGCCTTATGGGGAATCCCAGCGAGGTGTTTGAGCTAAAGAATTCCAGATTAGTTTTGGGTTAATCATTGAGTTTTGATCTGTTTAACTGACCTTCTTCAGTGCGATTGCTCCTAACCTTCTTCCCTCCCTGCCTGAAAACTGTTACAGTGCAAATAGAAAAATTGGTGCAGGGCGCCTGGGCGGCTCAGTCGTTAAGCGTCTGCCTTCGGCTCAGGTCATGATCCCAGAGTCCTGGGATCGAGCCCCACATCGGGCTCCCTGCTCAGTGGGAGCCTGCTTCTCCCTCTCCCACTCCCCCTGCTCGTGTTCCCTCTCTCGCTGTGTCTCTCTCTCTGTCAAATAAATAAAATCTTTTGAAAAAAAAAAAGAAAGAAAAGAAAAATTGATGCAATTGAGCTTCAAAGATTTCTTCATTTGTAGTACTGGCAAAAATTTTAATGGGTGGGCGATACAGATCTTGGGATTTATATTCGGATGACAAGATTAACTCATAATTTTAGCAAAAAACCAAATGTAGCATAGTGCTAGTTTACAAGTTAACATCAAGGTCAAAGAATTTTGTATATATAAATTTGTCCTTCTGGTTTGGTTTTAGTAGACATGACAATGACAATAAAGTGTCCTAAGTCTAGCAGTAGAGAGAACATATTTTTTTAAAAGGGTATGAAGTTACTCAAGATCACAGAAACATAGCACTTAAGCAAGGGTACTTTGACAAGCATAAATGTGGTATGTGATACTGGCATGTGGTCGTTTGTAACTAGGAATTAATTGTAAAGAATGCTGGCTATATTATGAATTATAAGAAGTGAAAACAATTCATGAGTAGGGTTGCCAAAGAACACACGATACAGAATGCTGTCATCAATTTTTTACCTTTATGTGTTTGTTTTTCCTCAACCTTATTCGTGGCCTGGGCCAAAACCTTAATAATAATTGGTAGAGCAGCATAAGTCTGTATACAGTGGGGCGTGGTATTATCGGTTCAGGGTGACTTGTGCTAGAGGAGCCTCGTGCTCCACGTACTCTAGCCCATTGCCAAATCTCTTAGTGCTATGTGAAATTACATATCTGTATTTTTTTAATTTTATTTTTTAAACTTTTTTTTTTTAAGATTTTTTATTTCTTTATTTGACAGAGAGAGACACAGCGAGAGAGGGAACACAAGCGGGGGGAGTGGGAGAGGGAGAAGCAGGCTTCTGGCCGAGCAGGGAGCCCAGTGCGGGGCTCGATCCCAGGACCCTGGGATCATGACCTGAGCCGAAGGCAGACGCTGAATGACTGAGCTACCCAGGCACCCCATAGCTGTATTTTTTTTTTTTTTAAGATTTATTTATTTGAGAGAAAGCAGATGCATGAGCAGGGAGTGGGGAGGGGCAGAGGGAGAGGAAGAGACTCTCGAGCAGATCTTGTCATGGGGCTCAATCTCAGGACCCTGAGATCACGACCTGAGCCGAAATCAAGAGTCACACACTTAACTGACTGAGCAACCCTCGCGCCCCATATGTATCTGTATTTAAAAAATTTGTATATTTATTATTTGTCTCCCTCTGCTAAAATATAAGCTCTCTGGAAGCAAGGCTTTAATTTTTCACCATTGTATCCTCAGTACTTTAGAATAGTGGCTGACAAGATGTAAAATAAGTATTTGTTAAAATGATAAGTGAATGAGGGGCACCTGAGTGGCTCTGTTGGTTAAGCCTCTACCTTCAGCTGCTGTCATGATTCCAAGGTCCTGGGATTGAGTCCTGCATCGGGCTCCCTGCTCAGTAGGGAGCCTGCTTCTCCCTCTGCCTGTGCCACTCCCCCTCCTTGTGCTCTCTCACTCTCGCTCTATCAAATAAATAAATAAAATCTTTAAAAAAAAAGGTAAGTGAATGATTTTTAATGGTTTAGATCAGCTTTATAAATAGCTTTCAGAAATCTTAGGTTTTCATAAGTTTTCTCCCATCAATGTACATTTTTCTTCCTCCCAGACTAATATATGCTTAATAGAGATAATGATGTGCTGCATTATAATAACCCTTTTAATATCAGCATATGGTGTTTTGGAGAAACTCTAAAAAGACAGGAAAGTGTTTTGCAAATACTCTGTACAAATTAATAGTGGAACACCTGGGTGGTGCAGTCAGTTAAGCGCCTGACTCATGATTTTGGCTCAGGTCATGATCTCAGGATGGTGAGATCCAGCCTCGCATCAGGCTCTGTGCTCAGCATAGAGTCTGCCTAAGAGCCTCTCTCCCTCTGCCCCCCCCCGCGCCAATGCTCACGTGTTTTCTCTCTTCCTCTCAAATAAATAAATCCTTCTAAAATATAGAATTAATTAATAGCAAGTACATTAATAGGTTATTGAAGATTATAGGCCCAAAACTAAAAAGTTTCTCTCAGTCTTGTTCTGATGCTGTTTCTCAGATCTTTACTCACTTCGCTGGGGCAGGAAAAGCAATCTGTATGTGCTATTTTGTTATCTGAGTTTCAGAGGGTCATGGGACTGATGAGCTGTTGAAGTAGGGCTAGGGTGCTTGAAGTCTAAAAAGGCCATGGGGCATCTGGGAGGCCTAGAAAAGCTTGTTCTAGTGTTTAGTTGTGTGAGTAGTCACTGTTGTAAGCATTTAGTGTTGCTTTACTTAGGTAGCTATATACCTTCTCTGTTTCTACTAGGTATAGTCTGAGTCTGCTTAACAGTAGATTAAATATTTAACCTAATTAATTCCCTTGGGGCGCCTGGGTGGCTCAGTCGGTTGAACAGCTGCCTTCGGTTCAGGTCATGATCCCTGGGTCCTGGGATCGAGTCCCACATCCGGCTCCCTGCTCGGCGGGGAGCCCACTTCTCTCTCTCCCTCTGCCTGCCGCTCTGCCTCCTTGTGCTCTCTCTCTATCTCTCTGTCAAATAAATAAATAAAATCTTAAAAAACAAAAAACAGGATGCCTGGGTGGCTCAGTCGTTAAGTGTCTGCCTTCGGCTCAGGTCATGATCCCAGAGTTCTGGGATCGAGCCCCACATCGGGCTCCCTGCTCCGCGGGAAGCCTGCTTCTCCCTCTCCCACTCCCCCTGCTTGTGTTCCCTCTCTGGCGGTCTTTCTCTCTGTCAAATAAACCTTTAAAAAAAAAACCAAAAAAACAAAAAACACCCTAATGTCCATTCAATTCTTGCTACCTTATCAGTGGCCACACCCAGGACCCTCTCTCTTATCTGAGTTCTTAAACTCTAGTATTAATAGACTCCAAACATTGACAGCTAGACTCCAAACATAGACAACTCTCTTTTTCCCTACTCCTATTTTGGTTGTTGTTTAACTCACTGGTACATCTAGACCCTTGACCTCTCCTGCATTTTGACCCTGTTAGAAGCCCTTTTGTCTTTACTTATTTCTCATCTAGTCTAGATTGCCTGCTCCATCATTTATAACAAGGTTATGTCTTTAGACAGCTCTCTCCCATTTTCCATAAAAGCTCATTTCAACTTTCAGCAGTTCCTCTAGATGAGAAAATGACCGTGTTCACTGGGAAGTGGAAGCCAGTCAGAAATCAAATCCTACAACTCTATGTGTGTCCCACAACTCTCAATCACCATGGCAGCCATGATCATGTTTTAGCTTTTTTTTTTTTTTTAATTTCTTCCTTTCTAATCTGGATACCCTTTTAATTTCTTTTGCTTGCCTAACTGTCCTGGCTAGGACCTCCAGTACTATGTAAAATAGAAATGACAAGAGCAGACATCTTTGTTTTGTCTCTAATCTTAGGGGGAAAGCATTCATTGTTTCACTGTTAAGTATGATGTTAGCTGTGGGGTTTTCATTGATGCTCTTTATCAAGTTGAAGTTCCCTTCTGTTCCTAGTTTGTTGAGTGTTTTTGTTATGAAAAAAGTATAGCTATTGAGATGATGTGGTTTTGTCCTTTATTCTGTTAATATGATGTATCACATTGTGCCTTTCCATTTTGATGAAGATATCTTTCTAGCTGTCCTGGATCCCACGTACTTCTACATCTTTGGGATCTCTTCTGACTGAGTTTTCTTCTTAACTCTGAACATTGTGAAACTCTGTAAAGGTATTGAGTAAGGAGGAGATGCTCAAAATTTGATTTTGGAAGTCATCAACAGAATGGATTGAATTGAGGAAATGAGAGATGTTAACTAGTAGTCCAGTGTAGTAGTTAGGCAAGAAATAATGAGGTTTTTCACTAGGACAGTGGGAAAGAAAGGGACAGATTTCAGGATTTGATGGTAGAATTTGAGCTTTGAGAGACAAAAAGAAGTTGTAGATTATTTCAAGATTTTTAATGAGAGGTGTGGGGCTTAAGGGAATATGTTGGAGAGACTGGTTGGATGGAGGGACCATGGACAGGGAACCAAGAAGAAAAATTTGGAGATTAGATTAGATTATAATGAATACTGTCTTAGTTTAATGTGGGTTTAGCAGAATCTCCATATAGGGATATAATATAATATATATTGGATATATATATATAATATATATATATTGGATATAATATATATAAAATATAATATAATTGGAAATAGGGTCTGAGGTTCAGGAAAGAGCTTAGGGATAGTGATCATGATTTGTGAATCATTTACATAATGGTGAACATTGAAGCCATGGCAGTAGATACGGAAATTAGATGGGATGTTACATTATGGGACACCCTGATGCAGCAAGTGGTAAAGTCAAAGAGTTAGCTGCTTCTCAGTTTTGCCTTTAGATAACCATTCTTGCCATCTGGAGTCACCTTTTGTGTCCCTTATACTATAAGTTGCTGATCCCCAAAACAGGACAAGACATGATATTTGGATGAGTTCAGAGTGAAGAGTTTGCAGAATACGGGGCGCCTGGGTGGCTCAGTAGGTTAAGCATCTGCCTTTGGCTCAGGTCATGATCCCCGAGTCCCAGGATCGAGCCCACATCAGGCTCCCTGCTCAGCGGGGAGTCTGCTTCTTCCTCTGCCTCTCACCCCACTCATTCTCTCTTATTCTCTCTCAAATAAGATAAGTAAAATCTTACAAAAAAAAAAAAGAATTTGCACAATGTATTTTCAAAGTTTTTATAGAGTCCTATGATGGTATATTAGACTCCAATAAATTTTACATCTTTAAAGGAACTCCTGGATTAAATTTTTAGTTGTCTTTATATATTACTATATATGGGATAAGAAGGCTACTTGCAATGGGATTATCAAATATACTTATAAAATTTGAGATATCTAGGCATTATTGTAGATCACCTGAATCTGAATCTTTGAGAGAGGCCAGCCTCCTCTTTAATACACTAAAGTTTGAAAGTCACGGATACACATAATGATACTGCCACTTTATTAAAGTTTAAAAACCAGGATCCTTTTGTGGTTGCCATTTTGATGTCAGAGAATAAAAGAGGCATTACTTTCCATTTGTAATCTAAAAAAATTGCCAACTTAAGTTTACCTTTCTTTCAGCTGAGTGTGAGAGGAAAAAATAAAAAAGAAAAACTTGAAGATTTCTTTAAAAACATGGTAAAATCAGCAGATGGAGTAATTGTTTCAGGAGTAAAGGTAAGATTCTATTTGATTAACAGAGGTATTGGTTTGAGAATCTACTTCTTTTAAGAAGATAGATTGAGATTTCAGATGTGCAGATGACTTACTAGAGTAAAAGAGAATTTGGACGGTAGAATGCTTAGGCCTGGGAATCTGGGTCCCCTGCCCTCGATTCTACTCTTTAGAGAACTTCTTTCTCCCAGGGGTGAGAGGTCTGTAGGTACAAGGGGATTTGCCCACCTGGAGTGCATACCCCTTCCCTCCAAACTAGACCATGCTTTAGGGGTCTGGAACCCCATGTTTCCTTGCCCAAATCTGAAGCCTACTTCCAACTTTTTCTCTTCTGTGGGCCTCTTCCCTGAATTCATCCTCCAGTGTGTGCATTCATGGGTGGTCAAGGGTGACCATGGAACAGCTAAGAAGAGGGAGGGCACAGGGGAGAAGATCAGTGTGCAGGATAGAATATCCGCTTACATACACACGTGAGGTTTCTCTCGGTGCCGTACAGAGCTGCAGGATAGGGCACGAAGAGGGCCTGCCTCCATTTGTACACTTGCCTTTGGCCTTACAAATGTTAGGGGCACACTTGGGTTCAGATCTGGAGTTAGAAGAGCTCCTTTGAGGTTTTAGTCTTGTTGTGGGGCGCCTGACTGGCTCAGTTAGTAGAGCATGTGACTCTTGATCTCAGAGTCGTGAATTCAAGCCCCACATTGCAGGTAGAGCTTACAAATAAATAAATAAACAGGCATATTTAAAATTAAATAAATAGCACCTAAGTATTTCTTAATGATGTTCTAAAAATGGTACAAGAATTGATTTATCTGAAAACTCTTAACCATTAAAAGAGAAAAGTGTTTATATTACATTATCAAACAGATACTAAGAAAGATAAATAATGCTGCTTTGTCATCATTGCCTATTTTTATAGATACATCTACAGTAAAACTTAGGTAGGAAGTACTATTTATTTGATTCATACTTCGGTTTTTCAGAGACAGGTCAGCTGGTATGTTGACAGTGCATGTGCCATGGCTACTTTCTAATAAGGACTCCACTTCCTTCCATTTTGATGCTACTTACACATTAATATTGAACATTTTTCTTAGCATTAATCCACTATATGGATTATGATTTTGGTAAAGTAGTAACATTTTTTGAACATTTACAATGTGGTGTTTGTTAATCCACATTTTGTTTACTCTTCAACCCTACAAGTTAGATAGTTTTATCCCCCCCTTTTTTTTTTTTAAAGATTTTATTTATTTATTTAACAGAGAGAGAGATAGCGAGAGCAGGAACACAAGCAGAGGAGTGGGAGAGGGAGAAGCAGGCTTCCCGCGGAGCAGGGAGCCCGATGCGGGGCTCGATCCCAGGACCCTGGGATCATGACCTGAGCCGAAGGCAGATACTTAACAACTGAGCCACCCAGGCGCCCCAGTTTTATCCCCATTTTAACAGTTAAGAAAATTGGTACACATGAGGGCGCCTGGGTGGCTCAGTTGGTTAAGCGACTGCCTTCGGCTCAGGTCATGATCCTGGAGTCCTGGGATCGAATCCCGCGTCGGGCTCCCTGCTCAGCAGGGAGTCTGCTTCTCCCTCTGACCCTCCCCCCTCTCATGCTCGCTCTATCTCATTCTCTTTCTCAAATAAATAAAATCTTTAAAAAAAAAAAAAAAATTGGTACACATGAATTACAAATTTTAAAGGACATTTTGTTAGTACTGACTTCTTTCCCATGTTCTGTTGATGTGGATGTGAATTACATCATTTTAGATGGTGCTGTTTCAAAAAATGATTGTTGTTTTTGAAAGGAGGAAAGTACTTTTAATAATTTTTATTTTTAATGTGTATCTAGCTTTGTTTCAAAAAAGATACAATAATTGCTCCCAGAAAGCTAGTTTGGCCATGTTTCCCCAAAGCAAGCAGAGAGGGCTGTAATGACGAAGGCCTGGCTGCCTTTAGGAGTGGCTCATAGAATACTTAATAGACCAAGAGAAATAGATTCGGACTTGTCTGTCAGAATTTGTTTCTTCTCAAAAGCAATTGATTACCCCCCCTGGCAGTAATATATTTTTTGGAGAGGCTGGACTGTAGACACAGAGCACGAGTAGGAACATATTTCAGAGTACAACATGTGAACGTGAACCATTATGGAAGGATCTAAGCTTTCAACTGCAAAACCATTGCAGATTTCTTCCTGGATAGATAGAAGTGCATGTCTGTATAAAGTCTGAATTTGTTGGTGAAATCATTAGAACATCTGATTATTAGAGGATAGCTGTGCTGTTTTACTGATCTTTTATGATTATAATGGTAAAGTGATTTATGTATTACACTAAAGTAAATAAGTGAAAAATTATATTTTCTTTTGACCCTATAGGATGTAGATGATTTCTTTGAGCATGAACGAACATTCCTTTTAGAATATCATAACCGAGTTAAGGATGCATCTGCTAAATCTGATAGGATGACAAGATCCCACAAAAGTAAGGTTTTTCTCTGTGGCTAAAGCTTACATTTTTTAATGGAATAATTATAAAGTTACTATGTTACTTATAGTTTATAAAGGTCTTGCTATAGAACAGTGGTTCTCAAACTGTGGTCTGTGAAGTCTTGACCCTAAGGCTCTTTTTATTTTTAGCAAGTCTGTGAGGTCAAAACTATTTTCATAACAATCCATGATGCTTTTTGTATTTTTCACCATGTTGACATTTACACTGATAAAGCAGAAGCCATGGTGGATAAGATTACTGGTGCCTTAGCACAGAGCAAGACAGTGGCACCAAATTGTGCTAAGAGTCACTATATTCTTTCCTGCAGTGCGTTTGCAGTTAGAAAAAAAAATTCAATTAAGAATATCCTGGATAAAGCAGTTAAAATTACTAATTGTAATAAACACTTCCCTTGAGTTCACTTTTTTAATATTCTGAATGATGAAATGGAAGGTATACATAAAGCACTCTGTGTACTGAAATATAATGGTTCTCTTTAGAAAAGCACTTTAGTTGCAACTGAATTATCTCCCCCCCCTTTTTTTTTTTCCCAAAAAAACCACCATTTCTACTTGAGAGAAAAGCTGCCAAACTATGATTATTCAGATTTGAGTATTTGGTAGACATTTTCTTAAAAATTAAGTGAATCTGTCACTTTAAGGAAAACAACTGATAGTATTTGTTGACAATGATAAAAGTCAAGCTCTCCAGCAATAATTAGAATTTTTGAAAACTTGTATCCATCCTCATGAACTTGCTTCACAATAAAGACTTGTCTGAGGAGATTGATGATCATATGTCAATGTGGTATTTTTGATGTTGTTTATGTATAATGAAGTGTGTCAACATTTGGAAGATCTGCATAACTCATTGAGCCAATATTTTCTAAATGATCAAGTACATGATGTTACAAAATCATGTATGTAAAAGATTCAAAGTTGAAGATAGACTAATGTTTTAACAGCTTTATTGAGGTATAAGTTGGTATCAGTAAGTTGCAATGTTCAAAGTATACAGTTTGATAAGTTTTGACATATGTGTAAAATCATCACTATAATCAAGATAATGAACATATCCATCACCACCAAAAGTTCCCTTACAGCCCTTTGTATTCCCTCCGTTTTTCCCTGTCCCTAGGCAACCATTGATGTGCTTCCTGTCTCTATAGATTAGTTTGCATTTTCTAGAATTTTATATGAATGGAATCATACTATATGTACTCTTTATTATTTGGCTTTAAAATGCAACAAAATTATTTTGAGATTAGTTCAAGTTGTTGTGTGTATCAAGAGGGCATTCCTTTTAATTGCTGAGTATTATACTGTTGTATGGATATACCACAATTGTTTATCCATTCAGCTGTTGGTGGACATTTGGGTCATTGTTAGCTTTAGACTGTTATAAATAAAGCTGACATGAACCATCTGTTTGTAAGTCTTTGTATGGACATGTGCTTTCATTTCTCTTGGGTAATACCTAAAAGTAGAGTGGCTGGGTCATGTGGTAAGTGTATAATTAACTTTTTAAGAAATTGCCAAACTTTTTTTCCCAAAATGAAATGACTGTACCATTTTACATTCCTACCAGCTGTGCATAAGAGTTCCAATTCCTCCACATCTTTTCCAACAAGGATACTCACTCTTTTTCCTTTTAGCCATTCTCATAGGCGTCTCAGTGTGATTTTAATTTGCATTTCCCTAATGACTGATGATGTTGAATATCTTTTCTTATATAAGTCCTCCTGCTTTATTCTTCTATACCAAAGTTGTTTTGGCCCCTCTAGGTTCTTTACATTTTCATATGGATTTTAGAATCAGCTTGTCACTTTTATAAAAATGGTGTCTGGGATTTTGATTGGGATTGTGTAGAATCTGTAGGTCAATTTGGGGAGGATTGATGTCTTAACAATATTGATTCTTCTGATACATGAATATAGTGTATTTCTCCATTTAGCTAGGTCTTCCTTAAATTCTCTCAGCAATATTTTATAGCTTTCATTGTACAGATCTTATACATAGTTATCTTATATATAGATTGATTCCTAATTATTTTTGATGCTCTTGTAAATGATGTATTTTATCTTTCAGTTTCCAGTTGTTATTTGCTAATATATAGAAATACAATGTACTTTCTATATTGATCATATATCTTGCAGTCTTACTAAATAAACTCACTTACTGGTTCCAATAACTATTTGTAGATTCCTTTGGATCTTCTACATAGATGATCATCTGCTAATAGAAACAGTTAGATTTCTTTCCAATTTAGGTTCCATTTATTTCTTGTCTTTGCCCCGTCGTACTGAAGCTCCAGTAGAGTGTGGATGGAAGTGGTGAGAGTAGGCGTCTTTGCCTTGTTCCTTAACTTCTGCGGAAGGCATTCATTCTTTTTTTTTTTTTATTCTTATGTTAATCCCCATACATTACATCATTAGTTCTAGATGAAGTGTTCCATGATTCATTGTTCGTGCACAACACCCAGTGCTCCATGCAGAACGTGCCCTCCTCAATACCCACCACCAGGCCAACCCATCCTCCCACCCCCCTCCCCTCTAGACCCCTCAGTTTGTTTTTCAGTGTCCATCGTCTCTCATGGTTCGTCCACCCCTCCGATTTCCCCTGCTTCATTCCTCCCCTCCCGCTACCTTCTTCTTCTTTTTTTTTCTTAACATATCTTGCATTATTTGTCTCCGAGGTACAGATCTGAGATTCAACAGTCCTGCACAATTCACAGCGCTTACCAGAGCACATACCCTCCCCAGTGTCTATCACCCAGTCACCCCATCCCTCCCACCCCACCCCCCACTCCAACAACACTGAGTTTGTTTCCTGCGATTAAGAATTCCTCATATCAATGAGATCATATGATACATGTCTTTCTCTGTTTGACTTATTTCACTCAACATAATACCCTCCAGTTCCATCCACGTCGTTGCAAATGGCAAGATCTCATTCCTTTTGATGGCTGCATAATATTCCATTGTATATATATACCACATCTTCTTTATCCAGTCATCTGTCGATGGACATCTTGGCTCTTTCCACAGTTTGGCTATTGTGGACATTGCTGCTATAGACATCGGGGTGCACGTACCCCTTCGGATCCCTACTTTTGTATCTTTGGGGTAAATACCCAGTAGTGCAATTGCTGGATCATATGGTAGCTCTATTTTCAACTTTTTGAGGAACCTCCATACAGTTTTCCACAGTGGCTGCACCAGCTGGAAGGCATTCATTCTTAAACCATTAGTTTCTCCTAGATGCTTTTTATCAGGTTGAGAAAATTCTCTTGTAAATTGCTAGTTTTCTGGGAGTTTTTTTTTTCTTTTAAGTCAGGAATGAATGTTGGATTTTTATCAAATGTCTTTTTTGCACCTACAGTGTTGAGATAATCATATCATTTTTCCTTTTTAGTCTATTAGTATGATTAATTATATTTTCAAATGTTAAACCAACCTTATGTTCTTGGGATAAATATCACTTATACCAATGGAGTTTAAATGTGATAGAGTTCAGGGGGCCTGGGTGGCTCAGTTGGTTAAGCAGCCAACTCTTGATGTTGGCTAAGGTCATGATCTCAGGGTCCTGGGATCATTCCTCCATTGGGATCTCCTTCTGCCTCTCCCCCCACTTATGCTCTGTCTCTCTCTCAAATAAATAAATCTTTTTAAAAATAAATAAATAGGGACACCTGGGTGGCTCAGTTGGTTAAATGTCTGCCTTCAGCTCAGGTCATGATCCTGGGGTCCTGGGATGGAGCCCTGTGTCAGGCTCCCTGCTTAGTGGGGAGTCTGCTTCTCCCTCTGTACCTCCCCCTGCTTGTGCTCAATCTCAAATAAATAAATAAAATCTTAAAAAAAAATAAAAATTTTGCAGGTGAAATAAACACAAAAAGCAAAAAATTACAGTGTACTATAATCAGTCCTGTAAGAGAGGTGTATATTCGTGCTATGGAAACATAAAGAACTATAAAGGTAGACAGTCATCCATTAAGAAAACTGAAGAAAATATTAGTGATTCTTTATTTATTTGACCAAATGGAACAGTGCTTTTTTTTTTTTTTTTT